CTCTGTCACATATTAATTGACTACAAAGGTGTAAGTTTATTTCTGGGCCCTCTATTCTGTTCCACTGATCTATGTGTCTGTTTTTATGCCAGTACCATGCTGTTTTGATTGCTATGGCCGTATAGTATAGTTTGATATTAGGTAGCATGATTCCTACAACTTTGTTCTTATTTCTCAAGATCACTGTTGCTATGTGGGGCCTTTTGTGGTTCCATATAAATTTTTGAAATATTTGTTCTAGTTCTGTGAGATACAGCATTGGAATCTTGATAGGAATTGCATTGAATCTACAGATTGCTTTGGGTAGTATGGACATTTTAATGATGTTAATTCTTTTTATCCATGAACATGGCATGTGCTTCCACTTATTTGTATCTTTTACCCTATGGAATAGTATGAATGGAACTGGAGAACATAGGCTAAGTGAAATAAGCCAATTAGGGAAAGACAAATACCATATGATTTCATTCGTATGTGAAATCTAATGAGCAAACTGAACTAAGAAGCAAAATAGAGACAGACTTATAGATAGAGATGAGAATGACAGCTAAGGGAGGGGAGGTTAGGGGTTGAAGGGATTGAGCAAAAAGGAAAAAAAGGACTCATGGACATTGACAATAGTATGGTGATTGCAGGGGTGAGGGTGTATACAGGGACTAAATGATAATGGAAAAAATACGATAAAAATCAGATAATAAAAAATAAAAATGAAACACTCTGAAGGAAAGAAGATAAAGAAAGAGAGGAAAGGAAAGGGGAGGGTGAGGAAGGGGAGAAGAGTGAAAAAAGGGCAGAATTAAATTATGAACCTGAGGACTTCTTTTTCCTAAATGTTGCAACAGCAAAATATTAGCCCAGCAGTAAATGCTGCAGAGAAACCATTTCTTTAGAGTTGTCTTAGACACATCTTCCTATTAAATACTAATCCTTACCAACTTTGACCTCATAATATAGAAAGCTGAGGGTTATTTTTCAGAAAAAAAGTATTTTATTGGCAGTCATGTTGTCTGGATAGAATGTCTTATAGAAATTATAAAGCATGCCTGACTGGTAGTCATGATGAGAAAAATAGAATACCTTTTAGGCACTGAAAGAAACCCAGTAAACTCCCTGAATTTAGCCATCTCCAATACGTTCCTCAAAGTGAAATAGACTATTCATAATTTAAAACTCAGTGTGACCTTCATGTTAGACAATAAGAATACAGAGTAGCCTGGGAAGTTTGGAAGCTTCTCCATTATCTGGGTTCCTATACTTAGATAAACTTTTCCATGGTCGTTTTTCATTATCAAGCTTTCAAAATGGTTAATAATAGAAGGTACCGGGGTGAATCATTGGACTAATTTAGTGATTATTAAAGTCTCCTGCCTTCCCTAGCTGTTTCATCTTCTGTACAGTCCTAGCAATTTTTATGATGAAAAAAACATTGCCTGAAGGAGAAACACTTGGACAAACAACAGACTTTTTAAAAAACTTTTCTTTTTTAAAACTGATTCCAAATTGTGGGTAAGGGAGAAAAAAGAGAGGTAGAGAAACATTGATCTAAGAGAGAAACATCAATTGGTTGCCTCCTGCACTCACCCTTACTGGAGACCCAGCCAGCAACCCAGGCATGAGCCCTGACTGGAAATCAAACACAGGACCTTTTTGTTTGCAGGATGACACCCAAGTAATGGAGCCACACCAGCCAGGACACTTGGAAACATTCCAACTAAAATCTTTGAAGCATGTTCCTGACCTAAATAATAACATATTCTATTGTCTTTTTGGCACATTTTTGCTTGATTTGTAATACTAAAGTCACAGTTTTTAATAAATAGCAGTCTAATTTATACCAACCTAGAATGTAAACATAATTCCGCAATTTACACATTAGGTAGTTCTAGTACTTATGAAAAGCACAAAACAGAGACTCAGGGTCTATTTAAAACCATTAACCAGAGAAGATTTTAGCATATTATTTCTGTACATTAAACCTAGTAGGCATTTAGTAAACTTTTGTGAAATGGAACTGAATCATGTCATAAAACAGCATCCTCTGTTACTACCTTGCTAAAAATTCTTCAATTTTGAACTCCCATTCTGTACCTAGCAATAGTCATCAACTTCATTTCATACTACCTGCTGACATACCTATTTCACCTTGGCCAAATAGATACAAAGCCTCCCAAGGCCTTGACTCCCCACACTTCAAGAATAAGGCACTCCCTTCAATTTATCCAAATCCTTCACACCCTTCCATTCACAGCATATATTTACACATCCTCTACATATTCTGCCCTGACACTCTAGCAACCAAAATATTTATTTCTACTTTTCTTTTGGTTTTCTTTCTCACTGGCTCTTATCAAGTATACTTATTGGTTTCTTCAGATTTCTGGTTTGTCAGTGTTTCTCCCTGAATCAGATTATCAACTCCTAGAAGTAAGGGGCTACTGTCTCATATCTTTTTGTTCTCCTTACCTCATTTTTTCTGGGTTCTCAACCGAGGGAGGGGGCCCCTTAAGAGTTTGTGGATAGAATTAAAACCATAATGAGAAACCACTTCACACCGGTCAGAATGGCCATCATAAACAAATCAACAAACAACAAGTGCAGGCAAGGTTATGGAGAAAAGGGAACCTTAATACACTGGTGGTGGGAACACAGACTGGAGCAGTCACTATGGAAAACAGTGTGGAATTTCCTCAAAAAGGTAAAAATGGAACTGCCTTTTGACTCAGCAATTCCACTGCTGGGACTATACCCTAAGAATCCCAAAACACCATCTCAGAAGAACCTATGCACCCCAATATTCATAGCAGCACAATTTACAATAGCCAAGTGCTGGAAGCAACCTAAGTGCCCATTAGTAGAAGAGTGGATCACCAAAAACAATGGTACATTCACACAATGGAATATTATAAGAAAGAAAGAAGAAAGAGGGAAGGAAGGAAGGAAGGAAGGAAGGAAGGAAGGAAGGAAGGAAGGAAGGAAGGAAGGAAAGGAAAGGAAAGGGAAGGAAGGAAGAAAGAAAAAAAGAAAGGAAAGAAAGAAAGAAAGAAAGAAAGAGAAAGAGAGAGAAAGAGAGAGAGAGAAAGAAAGAAAGAAAGAGAAAGAAAGAAAGGGGAAGTGAAGGAAAGAGCTACTTCACCATAGCATGGATGGAACTGGGAACATTATGCTAAGCAAAATAAGCCAGGGGGTGAAAGACAAATACCATATGATCTCATGTATAAGTGGAACCCAATCAACAAAACAAGCAAGAAAAATATAACCAGCATCATTGAAAGAAAAAAAAAATAACCAACAGTGATGAAAGGGAAGGAGAGAAGGGAATCATGGGGAAAAGAAGAGGAAGGGTCAAATCAAGGAACATATATAAAGGACCCGTGGACAAAGCCAAAGTGGGGAAGGATTGAGGATGGTAGGTGGGGGTGGGTGGAGCAGAGGAAAGTGGTGGTGGGAAAAGGGAGACAGATGTATTTGAACAATAAAAAAGAAAAGAAAAAGGAAGAAAATGTGGATAGAACTGTATTTCTTTTTTTCTTTTTTTTAAATTTATTTACTTTTTAAATACATTTGTCTCTGCCTCCCCCCACCACTTTCCCTTGCCCCCTCCCTCCTTCCCTCCCTCAGCTCTTCCCCTTTGGTTTTGTCCATGAGTCATTGCTATATGTTCCTTGACTTTCCACTTCCCTTCCCTTTCCCTGCCCCCCCTTCCCTCGTGTCTCTGTTGATTTCTTTTCCTTTCAGTGTTGCTGGTCACATTTTCCTTGCATCTTTGCATTGTTGGTTAGGTTCCGCTTATAGGTGAGATCATATGGTATTATTTCAATGTAACAGATTCCTTTGTAAACCTATGCCATTTATTTTTTTAAATATTTCACCAAAGTTGAAAGTGTGTCCAGGAAAGTGCCTAAATCCTAAGTATGCAGTTCAATGAATTTTTACAAAGTGACAATAACTGTATAATTAGCATCCAGAACAAAAAACAAAAGTACTACAATAATTCCACTCCAGAAGGGTCCCTCCTGCCCTCTTCCAATGAGAAACCCCAAGGGTAATACTTGTTCTAACTTCTGACATTATAGATTAGTGTTTCCTGCTCTTGAATTTTAAATAATAAGAATCACTGTCATTCATTTTAGTTTATGTATTTAAAGATTATTTTGAAAAAGTGTCCAATACCTTCACCCGGCTGCCAAAAAAGCCTATGGCACCCCTCTACCCACACACATACAAAGGTACAGAAACCCTGGATAACCTCTTATGCCTTTCTGACTGTAGGATTTCTAAGAGTCTGATTCTTCACATAAAATGAGGGAAAATTTGCAGAACAAATTGCAAAGGTAAAGCATGACTCAGAATCTTATACCGCCCAAAATAAGTTGGCAGTGCCAAAGGTTAGCAAAGATTGATTCATCATTAATCTGTTCTTATTGCAAGGGCAGGGTGGGGAGAATACTTTTTGACTGAGAAAAGTGAGCTTTATTTAACTATTTTATCCTATGTTTCTCAAGGCTTTGTGTTTTTCTCTTTCAAAATAATTTTAAGGATAGTCACCTGTTTGGGGGATTAAACTCTCACATCACCTAGCACAGAGTCTTGCATGGAAAAGGAACACAGTAAATACTTGTTTGTTCAGACTTCTCCAAAAAGTGTCTTAGTTTGCAGTCACCTGAGCTACGGAAGACTCAGCTGCCGAAGGCTTCAGGGATACTGACCTCTGAGGGTCCTACCTGGAGACCCTGCCCTCTTTTCTTGTCCTTTGACTTCATCACCCTGAACCGTCCAAAGGCCAGTCTCCTTTCCTTCCTGTCCTTTCCCATTCACGCACCGGACTGGGCCAAGCTGGGCCACCTGGGTGCAGCTCTTGACCATGGCATCCCTCTTTAAGAAGAAAACCGTGGATGATGTAATAAAGAAACAGAATGGAGTTATGAGGTACACAGAGGGCTATAAGCAGAGATTGAGCAGCTTTAGAGAAACAAGAAATACATCTGGAATTGGAAATTAAGATGATGGCCAAAATTGGTAATAAAGAAGCTTGCAGAGTTTTAGCCAATCAGCTTGTACAACTGTGGAAACAGAAAATAAGAACTTTTGCTGTAAGTTCTAAAATCACTTCTATGTCCACACAAACAAAAGTAATGAACTCCCAAATGAAGATAGCAGGTGCAATGTTTACCACAGCAAAGGCAATCCAGGCAGTTAACAAGAAGATGGATCCACAAAAGACATTACAAACAATGCAGAATTTCCAGAAGGAAAACATGAAAATGGAAATGACTGAAGAAATGATCAGTGACACACTCGATGACGTCTTTGATGGCTCTGATGATGAAGAAGAAAGCCAAGATATTGTGAATCAAATTTGTGATGAAATAGGAATTGAAATCTCTGGAAAGATGGCCAAAGCTCCATCCACTGCCCGAAGCTTACCGTCTGCCTCTACTTCAAAGGCTACAATCTCTGATAAAGAGATTGAATGACAACTCAAAGCTTTAGGAGTAGATTAGTCAAAAAAGCTGTAATATTTTGCTTATTTACAATTATTTAGTTATAATTATAAACCAGGCATATCGCCATTTCTTTTTACAGAACATTTATTTTGCAACTGTGAAGACCATGAGTGAACAGTTGTTTCCTAACCCATGGCTATTTTGACTCTTTTGCCAAAGAATGATAATGATGCATAATGGGAACTCTTTAGATTTTCATTAGAACTATTTAGGAATGATGATATGTAAAAAGTTGACAACCTCTCTGCATGGCATAGAAAAATTATATTCTTTATTTAGTGTAGTTTCTGTTCTAAATCTTTTTACACTAAATACAAAAATCTTGTTAAATGCCACCAGGCATCAACTTGAAAAGAGTCCTGTAAAAATATTAAAAGTATATAATTAATTCTGTATGCTTGCTTGTCCTTTGTAAGCGATATGTGTTATGACCATAGGCAATTTACCTGCCAAATTATTTTTAAATGATCTAAAGGAAGAGCACTATTTAAACATCTGTCTTAAACAAAAACTGTTCATGAGTTTTTGTTTTCTTTTTCCTTTGGGAGGACATTCTAGTTGATAAGTTTATTACCTTTGAAAATGTGCTTGGCACCTGCCTTAAATATTGCAAACATACTGTGCACATATTTAAATTATTTTAACTGACAGAAAAGAATTAAATTTTAAACTAAAATTGGGGCCTCATTCAAAAACCCAGGCTGTCTTTTGTAAGGCTTATAAAACTAAATTGAATATATTAGCAAAAATAGATTCTGAATTAATATTTTATAGTAATAAAATTATATATTTTGGTCTTCCAAGAAATAAGGTTTCTTAAATGTGAATTATCATTTAATCTGTTTAATTTTGAACTGTATTAATAGATATATTGAACCTCCTAAATTGAAGCCATCATTCTCAATTAAGTAACAATATTATGACAGTACTCTAGCTAAATTCTAAAATAAACATTAGCACTTTTTTCTTGGTAAATAAACTAAAACTTTGTGAGAAATTATTGCCTAGGTGTGTGTTAATATCTTAGCAGTATTATTAAAGGTAAAATTGCTTTGGTATTTAATGTCTGTATGGAAAGTTAGAAGAAATGAAGTAGCAGATTATAGAGATAGAATTTAGAATTATGTCAGTTTTGAAAAATGATGTTGTAATATATGGGTTCTAGCACATTCCACCGTAAAAACCCTGGAGGAGATTATGTAAGTGTAACCTGGGATGTTAATTTGGGATGACAGACATTTTGGACTAATATTGACAATACAAATATGTTTTAGAACTAGCATGTGACATATGGATTGGTGGAAAGAATGAAAAGCTAAACAATATAGTTTATAATCCATAATCCATTTTATAATGTTCAAAGATATGGTTCTATTATTAGTAGTATTAAATACAAGTACCCTAAACATTAATGAGTCAAAAGATTTTACTGGATTATAGAATGTCAACACAGAACTGTTTTGATTCTTGGATGTAATAGCAATGCCAGCTAACTTTTTTTGCTTTCTTGTTTACATATAGGTGGCTTTTGCTTTTAAAAAAATATCTTGTTTACATGTAGGGGGCTTTTGTTTTTAAAAATTATTAAAGTTGTTAAGAAAAATCCCAATAAAGATTTATGGCTATTAAAAATAAATTAATAAATACCTGATTATTCAGTTTTTGCTTCTGTTGGCCATCCTGAAACAAAATGTCAGCTAATAAATTATTTCAAAAAATACATCTTGTCCAAGTGGCTGTGTTTAAACAAAGTCCAACAGAATTTATTTGTTTGGTGACCTTTGTAAGGAGATATGTTTGCAATTGAGGGTGAACAACACTACACACAACACTACATGGACCTCCAAGTATAAGCAGGGACCAATGTAGCTAATTGTGCTCTTTTGCCTAGCATTTTTGTTGTCCTTAATATTTCCTATTCTTTTAATGTCATTTTGAGTGCTTACTATGTATGCACCCAGCACTGCATTCAAGGACTGTGGGAGATGAAAGAGAAATAGAATATACTGAGGTCAATCATCTAGTAATTTAATAACTAATTTGAGAAGCAATATATAATAACAAAAAAGAGCTAAAGAAAGGTGCAAGGCTGACTATATTTAGGCAATGGCAATAAATGGTAAAGACAATAAAACTATTGAACATTAAGTGAGTAACTTCCCTTTGGGGAGGTTGGAGAAGGCTTTAAAGAAAAGATCATTACTATTTTAGCTGAATCAGAATTTCTATATAGGAAAGGCTTACGGGCTGGCAATATGATAAGAAGGGAGGGCTGAAGGACTTGTCTTGAGGCTGCATTTTCATTAGCAAACACATTTTTATGCAGATCATACGTTTTCAGTGGTGGGTCTTGAAGAATAGATAGGGTCTGGCTTGGTTATGGAGAGAGAGTTGTCTTGGTTGAGGATTCAGAATCTACTGTGTTTATAAATGCCTTTGTGGAAGATATGATGCATAACACAGGGTTCTTATTCCCAAGAAAGTTGCACTCTATATGGAGAGGTATGATATATATACATAGAAAGTCATAACAAATATAAATAATTTTTAAATGTGTCAAGGTCAAGCAATAATTGATCAAAAAAAGGAGAGCTCAGAATTTGCCTTTCTGGTCAGGGAAGGCTTCCTGGATCAAGTAGAACTTAAAGTAGGCCTTGAAAGAGACATGGTAATTGGATGGGCAGAAAGAGGGAGCCCAGGCAGAATTACATTGATTGCCTTCCCTAATTTCCCAGTCATTATTGAACTCTCCTCCTGGGACTCACCTTCTGAATGACATCATTTTATGAATCTTAAGTGAATGGTGCATGGAATTCTTTTGAATTAAAAGCTTTACTTCCCCAACCAGCCTGTTGAAGGATTATTTTGCATGACAAGGTAGTGCTAAACCATACCTTTCTGTTCAGAAAGAGTTAACAGAGCTTTTATAAGTATCTCACTGCACAGGGACACAGACTTTAGGTAAGAGAAGGCCTTTGTGCTCGAGTGCACTTAATGAGCAAGAATACCTCTGTCCTGACACATTTGATGAATTCACTGTGTTTGGGAAAACTCAAGCCAGTGCACAAAAGATGAGTAAAGAAAAAGCCCCGTTTGCCTTCTTCATTCCAAGGTTGTGAATTCATTCTTGGGAGGCCTTAAGAAGGAAGGGTGGAAAGAGTAGAAGAAGGAGTGAAGGTAGGTGACACAGAGTTTCTGTGCTGAATTCCACAACAAAGGAATGTATGAACAGCAAGAGGAACACATACAAGCTAGTGCTCTCACACACCTGGAGAAAGCCACTCTTCTTCAATACCCATGACTCCATAACATTTGACAGTTTGCTCCAAAGAATTAATATTTTTCTGCTTTCTTCTCCCCAGCCCAAAGTTTGGGGAATGAGAGAGGGGTGCCATGAAAAAGAAAGAGAGATAAAGAACATTTTTAAATGTTTATAAGTATGTCCAGAAAGACAACATGAATAGTTTCATGCTGGTTAAATCTTTCCTGGATCAGGCATATTTCAAGGATGAATATGAGGAAAACGAATTGTGTTTGTTCTGATTCATCAAAAAACTGCAAGATGGTTGACTGGGAAATAAAATAAGGTCAGCTCCTCTTATTATGGAATCCTCTGGAAAAGCTAGTTAAATGTATCTTGAACTGCTTCAGTGACGGGCTTTGGGGACAGAAGTTAAATTCAGAAAATTCAAAACATCTGCAGGCACAAGCATAGTACACCTGTTTACTTGCCATGCAAAGTGTAAAGGCAAATATACTATAATTTAGAACACATAAAAAGGTAAAGGAAATGTGGAAAGTGCTTAATCAGAGTGACAGGTTAAACTGAAGTCAAGTCATTTCTATTTAATCAGATGCAATGCCTCTAGTTATTGGATTAAGAATAAATATGAGATACCTACAGTTATAGTATACACTCATTGTGATTTTCCCCCCACAGTACTTTTTCTTTGAGATTGATGAATACTGTCAGGGGGCTTTTGCTTTTCTACCTAAACAGTGATCCTTTTAGCCAGTCAGTGAAAGACAAATACCATATGATCTCACTTGTAAGTGGAATCTAATGAACAAAATAAATAATGAGAAAAATAGAAACAGAGGCATAAAAACATGGAACAGGCTTACAGCTGTAAGAAGGGTGGGGGTGAGAACTGGTTGAAAGAAGGTGAAGGGATTAATCAAAGAACATATATGGAGGATCCATGGACGGTATGGAGATTGACTGTGGGAGTGGGAGGCAGGCTGGAAATTTTTGGAAAATTGTGAAGCCATCCAGTCCAGCGTTTTCGTGTGTTGGAAGGTTTTTATTATTACTGCTTCAATTTCGCTAGCTGTTACTAGTCCATTCATGCTTCCTGCCTCTTCTTGATTCAGTTTTGGAGTATTTTTATTTTCTAGAAATTTGGCAATTTCATCCAGATTTTCAAATTTCTTGGCATATAGTTGTTCATAGTAATTTCTTACAATCCTTTGCATGTCTGTGGTATCGGTAATAATTTCTCCTTTTTGTCTCTGATTTTACTTATTTGTGTCCTCTATATTTTTTTCTTGATGAGTCTGATTAAAGACTTGTAGATTTCATTTATCTTTTCGAAAAACCAGCTCCTGGATTTATTGATCCTTTGAATTGTTCTTTCAGTCTCTATGTCATTTAAATCCACTCTGATCTTGATTATTTCCTTCCTTCTACTTGCTCTGGATTTTGTTTTTTGTTGTTCCCCTAGTTTTTGTAGATGTAAGGTTAGGTTGTTTATTTTTAAATTTCTATCTTTTTAGGTTGGCCTGTATTGCTATGAACTTCCCTCACAGGACTGCCTTCTCTGTATCCCATAAATTTTTGGTTGTTTTCTGTTCATTTTCATTTGTTTCCAGAAATGTTTTGATTTATTCCTTGATCTTGTTGTCAGCCCATTCATTGTTTAACAACATGTTATTCAGCTTCTATGGATTTGATTATTTTTGAGTTTTCTTCCTTTAGGTTGGTCTCTAGTTTCAGGCCATTGTGATCCTAGAAAATGCTTGATATGATTTTAATATCCTTGAATATATTGATAATATATTAATATCCTCAAATACATAAAATCCTTGAATAAATCAAGGATTTAATATCCTTGAATATATATATATTGACTATATATATATAAACATAATATATATATGTTATGTGTCCTATCATGTGGTTTATCTTTGAAAATTTCCCATGTGCATTTGAAAAGAATGTATATTTTCCTTCTTTGGGGTGGAAGGTTCTGTATATATCAATTAAGTCCATTTGATCTAATATGTTTTCCAGAGCCACAATTACCTTGTTGATTCTTTGGAAGATCTATCCGTTGTTGACAGTGAGGTGTTAAAATCCCCTAGTATAAGTGTGTTGCTGTGTATATGTTTCTTGATGTCCTCCACTATTTTCCTTATATATTTGAGTGTTCTTATATTGAGTGCATATATATGTGTGTGTGTGTATATATATATATATATACACACACACACACACACACACACACACACACACACACAATGTTTAGATATTATTGATATATTCACCCTTCAGGATTATGAAGTGTCCTTCTGTGTCTCTTTTTATGGCCTTTGTTTTGAAATCTATACTGTTGATACAAGTATTGCTACCCTGGTCTTCTTTCATGTCCATTTCCATGGAATTTTTTTCCCATCCTTTCACTCTCAGCCTGTGTATATCTTCTCTTCTGCAGTAGATCTCTTGTAGAGACCACATATATGCAGGTCCTGTTTTCTTATGTCCTTTGATTGGAACATTTAATTAATTTACATTTAAAGTTATTATTGATAAGTAATTAAACACTGACATTTTCCCCTTTGTATCTGAATTCCTCTCTCTAGTTCTTCTTTTTAAAGCAGTCTATTTAGCATCTCTTGCAGTGCTGGGGTGGTGGAAATGTATTCTTTTAGCCTTCTTTTGTCTGGGAATCTCTTTATTTTGCCTTCCATTTAAAATGAGAGCCTTGCTGGATATAGAAGTTTTGTTTGCAGATCCTTGCTTTTCATTAATTGGAATACTTTTTGTCAACCTTTTTCTGGCTTGTAGTGTTTCTGTTGCAAAATCAGCTGATCAATTTATCAGAGCTCCCTTGTATGTTATTAGCTGTTTCTCCCTTGCTGCCTTTAAGATTCTCTCCGTTTAAATTTACATTTTTTTATATTAATGTATCTTGAGGTGCACCTCTTGGGTTCCTGTTGATTGGGACCCTCTGTACTTCATGTACTTGCATGATATTCTTCCCTCACCAAGTCTGAGAAATTTTCTGTTATTTTTTCAAACAGGCTTTCTATATCTTGCTCATTTTTTTCTCCTTCTGGTATCCCTATGATGGATTATTGCTTTGTTTCATGTTGTCCCAAAGCTCCTTTAAACTATCTTCATTCTTTTTTAGTCTTTTTTCATTTTGCTGCTCTAAGTGTATTTTTTTCTACTTTGTCTTCCAACACACTGATTCTATCCTCTGCTTCATCTAACCTGCTTTTAATTCCATGTAGTGTATTCTTCATTACAGATATTTCATTCTTCATTTCAAACTGTTTCTTATTCAAAGTTTCTATGTTCTTTTTTATTTGACGTAGGTCCCACTACATTCCTTGTAGTTCTAAGTTTCTTGAACATCCTTATAACCATCACTCTGAACTCTATGTCTGAAAACTTGCTTGCCTCAATTTAATTTAACTCTTTTTTCAGATATTCCTCCTTTTCTTTCATTTGGGGTTTGTATCTTTGTCTCCCCAATTTAGTTATCTCTTTGGGTTTCTTTCTATGTATTAGATTGATTTACTTTGACACTCTGTCTCATGGAGTAGCATTATGTGTTAGGTGTCCTGTGGGACCCAGTGGTGCAGTCTACTGGTCTGGTTGCTCTAGGAATGTTCTCTGCATGGGTTATGTGGACTCTCCTTTTGTATTTGGGTCTTAATTGTTAATGGCCCATTCATTTGTGAGAATTCACCTCCAGCTTGCTGATGGAGAGGCTGAACCCCCACTCCATCTTGTACTCTGTTTCATAAGTGCTGGCAGAACAACACAAAACACAACACCAATAACAAGCAACTCCCCAACCACCATGGCAATATCAACAAGAAAGTAAAGAATAGTAAATGCAGAAAGATAAATGGGATACTAGAAAAAGGGGAAAATGAAAAAGAATATGAGAAAACCAAAGGAAAGAAAAGTGATTATGAGAGAAGTGCAAAGAGAAATAATACTCATAATTAATTGAAACAGAAAACTGGGAAAAAGAACTCAAAAGAGTAAGAAAAATAATAAAAGTATAGAAGAAGGGAAGAGTGTAGAGTAATCAAAGATAATAGTAGAATAGGAGCTATGAAAGAAAAATTAGCCCTGGCTGGTGTGGCTCAGTGGATGAGCGCTGGCCTGTGAACCAAAGGGTTGCAGATTCGATTCCCAGTCAGAGCACATGCCTGCATTGTGGGCCAGGTCCACAGTACTGGGTGTGCGAGGGGCAACCACACATTGTTTCTCTCCCTCTCTTCTTCCCTTCTCTTCTATCTAAAAATAAATAAATAAAATCTTTAAAAAAGAGAAGAAAAAATAGATCACCAAAAACAAAAGAAAAAGAAAAATAGATAAAAAATAATAAAAAGGCTACGAATAAGAGAAAAATAGCAAAAATAATGAAAAAACCAAGTGGATTCAACTCTGCAGACACTAGTGCTTGCCTCTCGTTTCTCCATTTGTATACTGCTCTTATGTGTGATCCTGGTGTAAGCCAATGCCAGGTGCTGTCCATGTCTGGCCCTTGGCTGCCTTTTCAAAGCTACAAGCAATCCACAGTTTGTGGCTGATTCCTCTGGGCTCCACTGCTCCCAGGGTTGGTCCAGCTGCTCTGCAAAACTGGCCTTTATCAGCACTGGGTCCAGGGACATATCAGCAAATGTCCCAAGTCACTTCAGTATCTGCCTCTGCCTATCTCTGCCAGATGGCCTGCTGTCAATCTTAAGGGTAGTCACTGACCCAACCATTCCTGAGAGGGCTTCTGGAAGAAACAGGGGGCTGTGATTACTGGATCTCCCATGGCAGGTGCCTTTCAGGCTTCAGGGAAGATGGCTCCGGTGTTCCCCCTCCCCTGAGCCACTAGTCTGAGTCTGTCTGGGATTATTCCTCTGTACTCAGCAGGGCAGGGCCCCTAGTAAGCCTCTAGAGCTTAGATTTTGGGTCTGCCGGATGCCAGGAAGGTGTTTCTGTGGCTCTCCTGTGAGGGGGGAAGCACTAGCCTGTTTCCCAGGATAGTGTATGGATTGGCTGCACCCTACAGCCAGGCTCTGACCACACCTGAGTCCGTTTATGTTGCTGTCTCCTTAGAAAGGGTTAAGGTGCAGGATGGGAGAAAATAAAGAAAAAGAACCAAACAAAGCAAAACACTAAGACAGAGCAAAACTGAAAAAAGTACAAAAAAGGTTCTATGTGGATTGAACAGGATTTCAGAGTTTGTGGCAAGGGAAACTCCAAAGGGTGGAGAGAGCAGTATCCTGCAGAGTAAGATAATTACTTTCCCCCTGGGAGGGGATAGCTCTTCTCAGAAAAGATGGCTACTGTGGAGCTCAGGTATATCTGGGCCCCAAGAATCCCCAAAGCCACTCCTCCAAGGATGTCGCCAGTGCCTCCTGTTCTAGACTCTCCTCAAATGACTCCAGTCTGTGTCACGCTCCCCTTGCTGGGGCCCAAGGTGAGTAACTGCAAACACAAAATCTGTGCTTTGCCCCTTTAAGGAAAAAAAAAAAAAAAAGATGGTGGGTCTGTGTCCAGCAGTTTTTTTTTTTTTCTTCCCAGTGGAGAGAGCCCAGTGGATCTCCTGATTGTGATGCTCTAAGAATGGCCTTTGCCAGGGTTTTATGAACTTTCCTGTTGTGTTTGGGTACTGATTCTTACCGGCCCATTCATTGGTGGGAACTCCCCTCCATCTGGCTGACTAAGGGGCTCAATGCTTACAATGTCTGTCTCTGCCTTATAAGGGCTTTTAAGTGTGGGCTGGATCCCCAGTTGGGGCAAGTACAGGATGCCACCCATCAATGCTTCTCTCTCATACTGACACATCTCTCTCTCTCCCTCAAATTAATAAAACATATTCTTTATGCATCATCTTATTTTAAGTCTCATATCATCCTTATGGGGTAGGGGAAGGAAAGGACGAGTCCAGCAAGAAAACTAACACTAGACAGTGGTGGAGCACTTGTGCTGTTTCCTATAGTGGGTATCAACCTTGGGCTCCCACCGCAGCACTTCCCCTATGACCTCTGCAGCCCATGCCACCCTGGCCACCTTTCTCCAGCCCTGGTGCTCCTGGCTCCTCACCTAATCTGTAGCCTCTTCAGACTCTGTCCGGCTCATGGTTCCAGAAGTTCCTGGGACCAGGAAGGTGAGAGTCCTCTCCCTGGCAAATACCAGTCCCCAGACCCTTGATTCCAGCAGTGGGGTGCATGGATGGCCTGGTTCAGAGGGCACAGAGGCCAGGCTGGGCACCAAGGTGCTGCCACTCCAGCACCTTCTTCCCAAGGAGGATTTTGTGAATCTCACAAAATTGTGCACTCCAGACCTGCTCAGCCAGATGCACCAGGCTGGGGGGTGGAAGCAGTGGCTCTACCAGGGGGGCCTCAACCCACTGTACCCCAAGTGCCCACACAGAGAGACACTTGCACACACATATGCACACTCACTCATGTACATGCTCACTCACACACGCTTTCATACACACTAAACTGAATTTTCAAGTTGATTGCTCTGTAAATAGCTGCAATACTAGTCTGGGCCTGGGAGCAAGTGGAGAGAGCCATCTCGGAACCTTCAGAGTATTTTCTGATTTTTCTTTTGATTCCTTTTTTGACAGATTGGCTCTTTAGGAGTGTGTGGTTTAATTGACCCCAATATTTTCTAGCTCTTGATTTCTAATTTTATTCTACTTTGGTTGAAGGACATATTTTGACTATTTCTGTCCTTTTAAATTTATTGAAGTTTATTTTATGGCCCAACATATAGTCTATCCTCAAAAATGTTCCATGTGTACTTGAAAAAAATGTGCATTCCGCTGTTGTTCAGTGAAGTATTCTATAATGTCTGTTAGGTCAATTTGGTTTATAGTGTGGTTCAAGTCCTTTTTTTCTTTTTTTTATATTCTGCCTACTTCTATCCATTATTGAAGTAAGCCATTGCAGTCTCCAACCTTTATTGTTTTTTTTTTAATTTTGATTTTTAATCCTCACTCAAGGACATGATTATTGATTTTAGAGAGAGTGAGGAAGGGAAGGGGGAGAGAGAAAGAGAGATTGAGAGAAACATAGATATCAGGGAGAAATATCTTTGTGAGAGAGAAACATCATTCAGTTACTTCTCACATGTGCCCTGACTGGGGAACAAACCCAGAATCTAGGTATGTGCCCCGAGCAGGTATTGAACATATAACCTTTTGGTGCATGGGACAACGCTCAACCAACTGAGCCACGTGGCCATGACTTCAACGGTTATTGTTGAATCATTTATTTCTTCCTTAATTTCCACCGTGTTTTGTTTCATGTATTTTGGGGCTCTGTTATTCAGAGCATATATGTATATAATTATTTTATCTGGCTGATAGATTGACCTTTTATCATGATCAAATGTCCCCCATTGTCTCTGGTAATATTTTTTAAAGTTAATTTGGTCAGATTTTTAAAGTGTCAGTATGCTAAAATTATGATTCCATAGTGGAGTCAGGTAGCTCTTGCTTTTTATTCATTTTGGCAATGTTGGCATTTAAATTACAATGTTTAGTCCACTTATATTTTATTTTATTTTTATCATTTTTATTGTTATTCTATTACAGTTGGCTCAGATTTTCACCCCTTGTCCTCCTCTCCTCATTGCACCCCCTGTTCCCACAGTCAATTCCCAAACCGTTGTCCATGTCCATGTGTCATTTATACATGTTCTTTTTCTAGTCTCTTTCCTTTCTTTCCACCATTATACATGGGCCCCGTGCCTCTGGTCACTTTCAGTCTGCTGAATGTTTCCATGCCTGTGGTTCTATTTTGTTCATTAGATTCCACTTATAGGTAAGACCATATGGTATTTGTCTTTCACTGAATAGCTGATTTCACTTAGCATAATGCTCTCCATTTCCATCCATACTATTGCAGAAGGTAGTTCCTTATTTATGTCTGCTGCATAGTATCCCATTGTGTAAATGTATCACAGTTTTTTGATCCACTGATTTACTGATAGGCACTTAAGCTGTTTCTTGTACTTGGCTATTGTAAATAGCGCCACTATGAAAATAAGGGTGTATAAGTTCTTTGGAATTGGTCACTCGGGACTCTTAGGGTATATTCCCAGCAGCAGGATTGCTGGGTCAAAAGAAAGTTCTATTTTTAGTTTTTCGAGAAAATTTCATACTGTTTTCCACAGTAGCATCACCAGTCTCCATTCCCACAAACAGTGCATTAGGGTTCCCTTTTCTCTGTATCTTCGCCAGCAGTTGTTTGTTGATTTGTTTATGATGGCCATTCTAACTGGTGTGAAGTGGTATCTCATTGTGGTTTTAATTTGCATCTCTCTTCATCATCACTAGCCATCAGAGAAATGCAAATTTCTCTGGTGGGGGTGGGTGGGGGAGGGGAGAGCACTGGTAGGTAAATGGAGACAACTGTATTGGAACAATAAAAAAAATTTCCATCTCTGATGGCTAGGGATGTTGAGCATCTACATATGTCTGTGTGTCACCTGTAAGTTCTCCTTGGAGAAGTGTCTATTCAGATCCTTTGTCCACTTTTTAATTGGATTTTTTCTCTTCCTGGTGTTGAGTTTTATGAGTTCTTTATATATTCTGTAGATCAAATCCTTTTCTGATATATCATTTGCAAATATGTTATCCAATGAAGTTGGTTCCACTTTCATTTTGATGATGATTTCATTAGCCATGGAGAAGCTTTTTAGTTTTACGTAGTCCCATTTGTTTAGTTTTTCCTTTATTTCCCTTGCCCTGTGAGATATTTTAGCAAAAATATTGCTACATGGGACATCTGATATTTTCTCCTGTCTATGTTTTCCTCTAGGACTTTTATGGTGTCACTACTTTTACTGGTCTTTTATCTATTTTGAGTTTTTTTTTCCAAGTGTATGGTATAGATTGGTGGTCTAGTTTAATTTTTTGGCATTTACCAGTCCAGTTCTCCTAACACCATTCATTGAAGCATCTATCCATATTCCATTGAATATGGAATATTCATTGAATATGGAATATTCCATTGAATGCTCTCACCACCTTTGTCAAATATTAGTTGATCACAAAGACAAGGGTTTATTTCTGGGCTCTCTATTCTGTTCCATTGATCTATGTGTCTGTACTTATGATTGTACCAGACTGTTTTGATTACAGTGGCCTTGTAGTATAGTTTGATATCAGGTACTGAGATCCCTCCTACTTTGTTGTTCTTTCTAAAGATTGCTGAGGCTATTTGCAATCTTTTCCTGTTCCATATAAATTTTTGAAATATTTGTTCTAGATCTGTGAAATATAATATTGGTATTTTAATAGGAATTGTGTCAAATCTATGTTGCTTTGGTTAGTATGAACATTTTCATGATGTTAACTCTTCCAATCAATGAACATGGTATATGCTTCCATTTATTTGTGTCTTCATCAATTTCTTGCTTCAGTGTTCTATAGTTTTCTGAGTACAGGTCATATATAATACCAAATTTTAAAAACAAAGAGAAATCTTAGAGGCAGCATTGAGAAATAGCAAGTATCATACATGAGAGCTCCAATAAGTTATCAGCTGATTTTTCATCAGAAACACTACAAGCCATAGGTATTGGCATGAAGTATTCCATGTAATGAAAAGTAAGGACCTATAGCCAAGACTATTCTATCAATCAAGTTTCCCGTTTAAAATGTATGGTAAAATAGAAAGCTTCACAACTAAAGAAGGCTAGGAGAGTATATATCCACCAAGTCAGTGCTACAAGAGATGCTAAAGGAACTGCTATGAAAAAGAAAAAAAAAGAGAGAGAAAGTAAGAGGGAGAGAAAGAGAAAAAACACAGGCATGGGAAAAATGGCAAAGAATAAGTACCTATCAATAATAACCTTAAATGTAAATGGATTATATGCTCCAATCAAAAGACAAAAGGTAAATGAATGGATAAGAACATGACCCATATATATAATGTCAACTAGAGACCTCCCTCAGAACAAAACATCTACACAGGTTTAAAATGAAGGAAAGGAAAAAAATATTCCCAGCAAGCAGACATGAAAAGAAAGCTGGGGTAGCAATACTTAAATCAGACAAAATAGAGTTTAAAATAAAAGCCATAAAAAGGGTCAAAAAATGTCACTATATAATACTTAAAGGGACAGCCAAGCAGCGGGATATAATCCTTGTAAACATGTATGCACTCAACATAGGTGCACCTAAATATATATAGAAAATATTGGAGGATTTCAAGAAAGATATTACAAAACACAGTTGTAGGGGATTTTTAACACCCCACTGTCAACAAGGGATAGATCTTCCAAACAAAGATTAAACAAGGAAATGGTGGCACTGAATGACACTCTACATCGAATGGATTTAATTGATATATACAGAGCCTTTCACCCCAAAGAAGCAAAATATCTATTCTTTTCAAATGTACATGGGACATTTTCAAAAATAGACCACATGACAGGACACAACACAAGTCTGAACCC